TCGCAAGTGTGTCATAATCCTGTCTACTCGTCAGGTATCTAAGCCACATTGTGTCCCATGTCCCCAGGACTTGTTCAGATCTCCGTGTATTTATTAGTATCCCTCTATTAATGTACGTTGTGCCTCCCTGTAATCCTTGTGAAATGTTGTGTTGGCTATCTATCCCACAATCAGTCCACTCGGCCCCGACTCCCACTCCCAATTAACCCACAGACCCAGCTCAATCAGTACAACCCCCATTAACCCACAGACCCAGCTCAATCAGTACAAACCCTAATTAACCCACAGACCCAGCTCAATCAGTACAACCCCAATTAACCCACAGACCCAGCTCAATCAGTACAAACCCTAATTAACCCACAGACCCAGCTCAATCAGTACAAACCCCAATTAACCCACAGACCCAGCTCAATCAGTACAAACCCTAATTAACCCACAGACCCAGCTCAATAAGTACAACCCCAATTAACCCACAGACCCAGCTCAATCAGTACAAACCCCAATTAACCCACAGACCCAGCTCTATCAGTGCAACCCCAATTAACCCACAGACCCAGCTCAATCAGTACAACCCCTAATTAACCCACAGACCCAGCTCAATCAGTACAAACCCCAATTAACCCACAGACCCAGCTCAATCAGTACAAACCCCAATTAACCCACAGACCCAGCTCAATCAGTACAACCCCCATTAACCCACAGACCCAGCTCAATCAGTACAAACCCTAATTAACCCACAGACCCAGCTCAATCAGTACAACCCCAATTAACCCACAGACCCAGCTCAATCAGTACAAACCCTAATTAACCCACAGACCCAGCTCAATCAGTACAACCCCAATTAACCCACAGACCCAGCTCAATCAGTACAAACCCTAATTAACCCACAGACCCAGCTCAATCAGTACAAACCCCAATTAACCCACAGACCCAGCTCAATCAGAACAAACCCAATTAACCCACAGACCCAGCTCAATCAGTACAAACCCCAATTAACCCACAGACCCAGCTCAATCAGTACAAACCCCAATTAACCCACAGACCCAGCTCAATCAGTACAACCCCCAATTAACCCACACACCGAGCTCAATCAGTACAACCCCCAATTAACCCACAGACCCAGCTCAATTAGTACATCCCCCATTAACCCAGAGACCCAGCTCAATCAGTACAACCCCCAACTAACTCACAGACCCAGCTCAATCAGTACTGAAAGGGTTAATGCTGTTCTGGACTCAACTCCCCTCGATTCTCGATTGTCCGGTCACCATAATCCCAGCTCAATCAGTACAACCCCAATTAACCCACAGACCCAGCTCAA